GATAAAGTACAGTGGGGAAAAAAAAATTCAATATTCATTTACATCAAGCAAAGTATAACGAAATAAAAAAGGGGTGGAAACTAAATCAAGAATTAAGTTTTATTTAAGAAAGAATAATCCAGAATATATACTGGGAGCAAACTGTCTGCATATGGATAGAAAACAAGTTCAGTAAATACATGAAAATAGAAAGGCTTCTAACAAGTGAGGTGATCCTGAGAGAACTAGAAGTCCCACCAGGATTTATTGTTCATGGATGCAATCTTAATGAAATAAAATATGCAGATGGTAGATAATAAAGGATAATGGGAAGACAGGACAAACCATCATTTTTTTTTAAGAAGACAGAATGTATGGTTGTCCATAAAAGAGGCAGCCCAAGATGAGAACTATGATATTTTTTTTTAAATTGGTATCACCCTATGCAAGGCAGTAAAGCCACTAAGACACAAGGGGTTACAGGGTGTGGAAGAATTAGGAACAGAAACACTAATGATGAGCAGAAAGAGAAGAGAGTAATCAGGAGGACAATAGATAGCAATTGACATTGCATTAAGATTTTTGCAGATTAAAGTTGGCTGGAAAGCATGGAGCCAGAAGGGAATTCCACAAGTGAGAAGTGCGAGAGAAGAAACTATTAGCATAGAACTTACGGTTACATCTCGCCAGCTCAACTGTCAATTGATGACATCTCATTGCCAGTCTAGTGCTGTGCTTAAATTAAAAAAGTCTAGGTACCATAACAAAGTACTCATCCGAGCAATTACCATGAAAGTATTTATAGAAAAGACACAGGGAGGCAACCTTATGTTGGTGGAAAAGTGGCTGGAGCCAAGCCAGCACATCAGAACCAATAATATTGCTGATTCTGTTGTATACTCCCTCTCTTCTGTGGAGGACTTTTGGGTGACGAGGGTCGATTCCACAACAAAGCTGCATTCTTCTCTCTCGGCTGTCTTCTCTCCATCAGTAATCGCTAGTTGTCTTCCTCTCTTTATCATCTCTCAGCCGTCCTCTCCCAGTCAGGTGATCACTACTTGGTTTGTTCGGAGGTAAAGTGAAACATCAACAAAGGGAATTTGAAACTTATCTATTTTATTAACACGTCAAAGTGTACATTTTTAAACTAGCCAGTGGGTTCACAGTATCACCCCTACTGGGGAGCAAGTTCCCTGGGGGACAAAATAACCACATCTAATTTGAATGATGTGTAAAACTTAACTCCCTGAAAACAATTTCTATCTCTAACATTCCCACGTTCAGCTCAGCCAATCAAAAACAACTTCCTTTGTTTTGTCTACTAGCTGACCCAAAGGTCAACCTCAGGAGGTCTGAGCCAAATACAGTGCCACTAAAAAATAGTAGTCTGAAATTATTATTTAACATTCTTTACCTAACCATCAAAAAGAATTCATTTATCAATTTTATTTCTACTACATTATATTAACAACTAGCAGTAGAGCCCGGTGTTACCTGGGGATATAACAGTAAGAGATAGATCAAGTATCCACCATCATAAAGACTGAAAAATAAAATTGACAAAGATTATTGTTTAAGGTTGACGGACACGCATGTCTTAATTATTTTTTTTTTTTTTTTACGAATTGGTCAAACCCAAACTCAAACAAAAACATTGTTTTCAATCGTTATGAGTCTCCCGATTGAATAGAATAATTTTATAAACAATTGTCTTGTAAATGGAATTTTTAAAGCATTCTGAATGTAAAAATAAAGAAAAAAGTGTGCAAGACAATAAGAAACACTACATGCCAAAAAAAAAAAAAAAAAAAAAAAAAAAGTGAAGTTTTGTTGAAATCGGTTGAAAAATGTAGGTAGCCTTTCTGTAATCTTTTAGTTTTACAATTTATGATTTTTACTTATTGAATACAGTAATAAAAATTGCATATTTTGCTTGTGGTGATTCATAATTAGAATTCTGATTTGAATATATTTTCCACTCGTTGTTTCTAATACAAAAAATATTAACTTTATTTGGGTTTATTAATTATGATCTAACAAATCTTATTCATTTAGTAGCCTTTCTGTAATAATAATCTTTTACAATTTATGATTTTTACTTATTGAATACAGTAAAAAATTGGACACCATGTGTATTTAAAGTAGTTTTATGTTCTGGTTATTATTTTATTTAGGACTTGTGTATGTTTAGATTTCATTATCTTTCCCTAAAAATAAAGAATTTATCCGATGTTTGTATTCGTACAATCAGTAGAGATCGTTTGATTATTGTTTAAGGTTGACGGACACGCATGTCTTAATTAGTTTTTTTTTTTTTTAATTTTTACGAATTGGTCAAACCCAAACTGAAACAAAAACATTGTTTTCAATCGTTATGAGTCTCCCAATTGAATAGAATTTTATTATAAATAATTGTCTTGTAAATGGAATGTTTAAAGCATTCTGAATGTTAAAAATAAAGAAAAAAGTGTGCAAAAGAAACACTACCTGCAAAAAAAAAAAAAAAAAAAAAAAAAAAGTGAAGTTTTGTTTTATCGGCTGAAAAATGTAGGAAATCCGATCCCATATTTAAAGGAACCCACACACACAAACAACCTGATGTGAGTTGTCCCCCTTCCATCTTCACGATGTCTCTTAATCGTGTTTTCAAATTGATTTTGTGCAAAAACAATTATATTTTTCCCATTTTTGGCGCTGTTAGAACCACCACAATGTAATTTTATGTAGTCCTGTGAAATTTTGTTGAAATCGCTTGAAAAATGTAGGAAATCCGATCCAATATATAAACGTTACAGACACACACACACACACACACAATCTGTGTTTTATAATAAGTAAGATTCTTCTTTGGATCTTATTAAAGAACTCAAGGTAAATAGCAGCAGCACCAAACCATATGTTGGAGATATCACAGTCAAACAAGTACAGAAGTGTACAGTAAATATCTGGGAAGTGTTTTAACAGATGACACCAAAATCTGAAAGTTCATTGGAATAGCAAAAGATGTCTTCCAAAAATTAGACAAAGTATTAAAAAACACGAAAATGTTGTTAGAAACAAAGAAAAGAGTGTTGAATTGCTATATAATATAAATCCTCCTATATGGCAGTGATTGCAGGAGAATTTCCTCACAGATATTACCTCAACAGAGATGTTGTTCTACAGAAGGATGATGAGGATACTAAGGATAGATTATGTTTTCAAGAAATTGGAAACAAACATTTCTAGTCTCCCTGTGTCTTTTCTATAAGTAAAATTTCTAGGAGGGAGGGCTTGAAGAATGTGACAATCACCAGACTGGGTTTGGTTTAGTTTATTTTGTTTTATGACATATCAACACTTCAACGAGTTATTTAATGCCGACAAGATTTTTAGGATATGTTCGTATGAATAGAACATATATTCTTTGTAAGAAATCACTTTGTAGATCAGGTTTCATTGATGTATTTTCGTAAAGAGGGTTTTGGTTGAAAGTTAAATGTATTGTTGGTTATATGCACTATAGGTCGAGAGTTTGAAGCCACCCCCAGAATTAGCATAGGATGAACTTGACAGATGAGTGAAAAAATAAAAAATAAAAAAAAAATGAAAAAGAGCTCTCAGAGTCAATGAAAAAAGAATGAAATCACCTATCAAAATTATACTTTGAAAAACTTTTGCAACAAATGCCAAAAATTTGTGCTGCAGTAATCAAGGCTAAAGGAGGATATTTTGACGAGAGAAAAATTTAATCATAAAATGTTTTTTTCTTTTTGCCATAATTTCTAACAAAAAAATTATACCTCCCATATTTTTTTAAACATGTATAATAATTTTCTCTTATTTAAAGTACAAAACAACTATTTTTGGGGCCACTTTAAAATATTACCAAGAGTAGCCTCAAACCTTTGATGTGTAATCCCCCCCCCCAAAAAAATGTACTAGTAATATCTTTTTTTTTTTTTCAGAAATGTATTGCTGGCATTTTAACTATAAAAATCTATTTTCATACTTTCACAGTGTTTTGACCCCAATTTTTTTTTTGTGGGGGTTAACTATTTCCCAAAACTGGGACCCTAACAGTTGCTACAATCCTGGGTCAGAGTGGAACTGGGAATAACAGCAATTAAGAGGTTGTTCCACACTCCTCCAAATCTCTCAATAAGAGACCTTGCTGCCAGATGTAGTTTATTGTCATGCCCAGGATGAGGGACAAAAGAAAAGCAGCAAATAATCTACTTAAAAAGTTTGGTAAATGGATGGCAGAAAAGGGAGTGGGAAGGTTAGCAAAATGATAAACATTACTAAGAGCTACAAAGGAGAGGAAGTCGTGGAGCGCCATGATCGTCCACACCTCGAAGAACACTGCACATAGAAAAAGATTCTATTTTTTTTTTTATACTGATTTTCAAAAAAAATGAACATTTTTAAGATTTATTATCCGACTGTAAAGACATATGTATCGTCCGTTATTTAACCTATAGTTGGAATGGAAGAAATTGATTCATGCTTTTTCACAAAGGCATCTGTATGAAAGTGAACCCAACAAATTAGATCAAAATTTGAACTCGGCTTGCCAAATTTAACTATCCCCACTGATATCCATTACACTAGGGTGAACTGGGCTCTTTAACATTGGGTGGCAATCAGTCTAAGAAAAGAACAACCCTGAATTCAAAACCATACAGAAGGTAACTTATTTCACTATCATTTCCAAGAAGTAATTTGAAGTTATTGAAAAAGAGGAAGCTGTAAAGAGCTGTCATCGTGCGCATCATGAAGGGACATTGTATTAAAAAAAAATCGTTCTGTAAATATATTTTTCATTTGATTTTAAATATGTAATTTTTTTTTCTTTGCTTATTCTGCATGGAATACTTTAAGTTTATGAAGTTAAATGTTTTGTAGAAAAAACCCCAAAAAAAACAAAAGTGAAGTTACATTTTCTTTAAAAATAGATGGTAAATTCTGCTTAGCTGAATCAGTCATAGGGGGCAAATTTAGTTTTCTTTTTAATTTAATTTTTTTTTTTATAAACTTACCTATTTGGAAAAATCCTGCACTAGCCATTCTGTCTGCTGATAAATTGTTTGCCGTGTGCCACTCTCGAAAACTTTCCATTCGGTCGTAAAACATAATGTAAGGTGGATGCTTGATGTGGGTCCTCATCATGGGTACATTACCACAGTATTTTCCCTGAATGAAAGGGCAGTCGGGGTACCATTTACTGTGCTCTGTAGAGACAACATCTCCGGCTGTCCATGTGTTCAACTGACCATGACAACAAAAACATTTGACCGAATCGTCGGTACCTGTAAAGTAAAAACCTTGACGGGCCAGTTCTTCAGGCCGAACGGGACACATAATTGACCAGCAGTGAAATGTGTCTAGACGGACAGATTCGATTTTTAATTGCCTTACATCGTTAATAAATTCCATTTGGTGGACAAAATCTGGAAAAGAATTATTAGGAAAAATACTCAGAGTTGTCAGTTAAATTAATTTACAAAAGCAAGGGGAGATAACTTTCAAAAGCAAAACAAGGAAAGTAAAAAAAATGCAATGAATTACATACGATTTATTATAAACGAACTTTTGTTTGTTATTTTTTTAATTAAAATATAATATTGGGTTTTCAATTAAATTTTCGAGTTAAATACTGAATTAAAAATAAAAATTCAAAACATTACAAAGACGGTAGATTTGATTTAATCTCCAAAAAGTTGTTTTAAAAATGATTATTTAAAAATAAAAAAATGTATCCTTTAAGGCTGTAGTGTAGTAAGTTAAAGTAGAAATAAAAGTAAAACGAAAGTTGGACAAAAAATTAAAAAGTTTTTTTTGAAAAAAAAAAAAAAATCAAGTTTTATACTAGTAGTAGTTTAAAAACAGACAAATTTCCATTTTTTAACAATCTAGAGTTTCATTCATACAACCGTCTTCTTTATCTTTGGAAATGAAGTAATTTTTTTTAATAAGATAATATTGAATTTAACAGTTGTTGTCAATTAAGGCAACTTGAAAGGAAAATGGAATTGGAAAGAAGGGTGTATCCTTTTTACTTAGTCTTAGTGTTTTAGTTTTTTGGTTATCTCATCATTCGTTTGTCCAAAAGATTAATTTTGTTTCTTAAAAAACTTACATTAGAATTGAATAATATTCACAATTCAAAGTTTTTGTTAATGCATTGTTTTTTTAAAATAAATAAAACTTTTTTAATTTTTTTTTTTTTTTTTTATAACTATTATGTTAAAAAGTTACAGTAGCACAATTTCAATAAAAAAAAGAAGCCATACATGACAGAATATTCGAGCCGATGATTAATAAACCGTTACAGAAGTGTCTTAGAAACTGTTCACCACACACATCATTGAAGATTAAAAACAATAAGCAAATTAACAATCTTTGTTGTCATTAAATCCGTCGAGAAAGTTTTAAGTAAAAAAAGAAGATGCATTCAAATATGGGTGATAAAACTAAAAGTAACGTCTTCTTTAGCAGGTGTTGAATATCAAATGTCTCTTTAGGTAAAGAATTCCGGATTAATTAACAAATAAAATAATTATTAGACATCATAAAGTTAACTAACATAGATATTTTTAGTTCGATATAAAGGAAAGTTAGTGAAGAATACCAAGAAAAGAAAATTGCATTGTATTTTCATTTTCTAAAATTAATGAACTTGTTGTTATATTTGTCCTCCAACACCGGAACTTAATTTCTGGAAGGAAATCAAATTGAAAAATAATATGAAGTAGGAAACCTGTTGTTGTTGTACAAATCTCCGAATTGAGGTGAAACTTATGACCTTGAAATAAATAAATAAAACCTTTTTTTTTTTTTTTTTTCTAAATTAAATGAAAAGGAAAGAAAATCTACATTAGAAATCTTGGATCGAAACACCAAACCAAACAGGATGGGGAATAACCCGAAAACTTTATAAACGTCGAAGGAAATATTGTCACGCTTATTAACTTTGTTTACGCAGGACAAAGCTAAATAAGCAGATGGGGGCGAATTCCCTCAAATTTCTGTCTGCTTTCGTTTGTCTAAAAAAAAAAAAAAGAAAACGGAAAATATTGCCGCCAAATTTGCGTGCACTTTCGAATGGAAGCAAAATAAATAAGGGTAGAGACATCAGCATGCGTGCGTATTTTCGCTAATGAAAGGGGGAAAAAAATCTAGTTTTTCATTTCCATTTAAAAATTTACCAAAAATCAGAGAATTATCCGATTTAAATGAAATTTTAAATATTTAGTGAATGAATGTTATTGAATAGGCCATTATTTTATAAAATTAAAATTTTGTGGAAATATTTTTTTTTGGAATCAGTTTCACCCCATCTTCGTCTTATTTTCTGATAAAGTCGTGTATGGACATCCGTATTTACAAAAAATCGGCAGATAAAATATAAAAATCGAGCAGTATAAACAGTCAATTGCTAATATCCCCTGACGGGTGGACGCGCTGTCCGTCTACGAAACTCTGGAGATGCTGAAGGCAACATCAATCAGCTAAAAAAACTAAAAGTGACAAACTTAATTATATATATATATATATATATATATATATATATGCAGTGTTACATTATTATTAGAACATGCACATATCCACTACAAAATTGTACATTTTCGTTTCAACGTCAAAAAAGGGAGACTTTTTTTAGATGTCTCATCAGGTGGGGAGTTATGGTGTTACTTAAAATAATGGCTTATTCAATAACATTCATTCACTAACAGTTAAAAGCAATTAAAAGCTTTTCTAACTAAATTATTTCTTAGTTTTATTGCATTTTTATTTTACAATACAGAGCAGATTTGTTTTTCTCAGTCCCGCTTACCTTCAATCTGTCCTGTGAGTATCAAATTTTCCAAGCCTTCTTTCCTCATTATGTACCATAAAAATTTCAACTTTCTCTTTCTGATGTTAAGTAGAAATGTCCTTCTTGTTGCCATTCTCACTAGAACTTCGTTGTTACTCATATGTTCGATGCATGGTATTTGTTTGCAAAAGTTGCAATTTTTGTGAAATTGTTTTTATTTTTAAACAAAAACAATGTTTGTTTATTTGTTTGTCATTTCCACGTGAATCTTTTTCGTGAGCCGCTGCTTGTAGTTAAACTAAAAAAAGTCATCGCAACAATATTTTTTGCTTTTTTAAAAAAATAAAGATTCGAAAAATAAGAGTGGCCATTTTATTTTTAAGAATCTTTTAAAACGAGGGTGGCCATTTTATTTTTAAGAATCTTTTATAACGAGAGTGGCCATTTTATTTTTAAGAATCTTTTAAAACGAGAGTGGCCATTTTATTTTATTTTTTTTTCATTTTTACAACTGTTAGATTATTTTAGTACAGACGTTAAAAGGGAAATTCAATCTCCCATCTAAAATGAGGAGCTCAATTCGACACCACTACTTCTGACCATAAGCGAACATCTGTTCCATTAACGTGTCGAGCCAGTGAACGTTTCGATTTTTTTTAATTGTCGCAAAGAGCAAAAGTCGTTACACTAGTTCGGTGTACCGATGTATTATTAACTGTAGGCACGCCATTTCTGGCGCGCTAGTTAGCAGCCACCTGTCTGCCTGCCTCTCTCTTTCTGTTTCCGCGACGTTGGTTTTGGCGGGGTTCATTCTTTGTCCCATTCGCGCGGCACAATCATCATCAATCAATGCACATAAAAAATTTTCAGTTTGATTTTGAAGTTAACTATTAGAATAGACAAAGATCTATTCTAATAGCTAAGCAGAGTATTAAGAGACAGAAAAAAAAACTTCTTTAGAAACAAAGATTGCCCTCAATCTGTCCCGTGAGTATCATCTTTACCAAGATGTCCTACAAATTTCAATTATCTCTTTCTGATGGTGAGTATAAGTGTTCTTTTTGTTTCCATTTTCTCTATAACGTGCTCACATGTTCAGTGCATGGTATTCTCAGCATGCTTCTGTAGAACCACATTTCTGTTGCTTCAAGTCTCTTCTTCATTTTAGTCTTTCCCTTTAAGAACAACTGCCTTCGGAGACAAGACCGGATCGCCGCTTCTACTCTTGCCTGTACCTACGACCATTTCTTTTTCAGGTGAAGATCCGGCTGGAAACACACTCCAAGAATGCGGACGAACTGTCAGTCCAACTGAAGGGGGCTGGACGAGCAACACCCTTCCACAAACACAATTATAACCCGGAAAACTTGTCACCGTTAATCTTGATCCCTGTAATGTTCAAGCACCTTCTGCACCTTCACAATGTCGTTGCAGCGCGACGCTAAAATGGATATGTCAACAGCGTAAGCAGAAAACCCTGGCTCGAGTCCCTCCAGGGAGACCAATTCCACATAGGGCCAGACTACACGCCCTGTTCTTCAGTCTGCGCAGGAGAGGATCCAGCGCCAAAGCGTAACGTAGGAGCAATCGCGAACAACCCTGACAAACCGACCCTGACAGCGCAAAGACGCCTGACGGCTTTCTGCTCACCTGTACCTCCCGGATTTAGAAAACGATACAGCAGGCGAATCCACTTAGAGATCGGCTTGGAATCCGGCGGCCTGCAGAATAGCTGTCAGGTACTGGTACCTTGTCGAATGCCTTGGACTGATACAAATTGATAAGTGCGGCCCTTTCGTCGTTTTCTACACCCTTTACGATCGTGTGGATCAGATGCAGGTTGCTCTGAATTTTTCAGCCCTTCACAGCACAAATCTGTTCTGATACCAACAAACGCGTAGTCAGGATCTTTGCCCAAATCTTTAACCCTGGGTTCACCAGAGTTATGATCCTGTAGTCATCTATTTTCCTGCCATCATGCTTGTCATTTTTTAAAGTGTCACCAAATCCCTGGAGATTCACTCCGAGACAGATCTCTGACAGAACCAAGTTGAACACCTCTATCAAGATCGGTACAAACATGTTCGATAATCTTAAGTACAATTCGCAGGACAGACCATCAAGTCTCGGAGACTTGTCAATGTCACATTGACTTCGCCCTCTGTGTTCTCACCCTCATAGCGAGCCGTTTCAATCGATGAGAGTCGAGAAAAATCAGCTAACTAGCTGTGAAACTTGCTCACATAGACCAGTCTCCTTTTTTATGATACCGAAACGAGGCGCATATACGATTGGTCGACCGCAGTCTACGTCCATCCGAGGTGTGACGAATGTAACGATCGGAACCTTGACGTATTTCCTTCTTTCGCAATTCTGCGCGCATCTTCATTATATATTCATTATATATTTTCATTAACCTAGCTCTAACTACCTGGCCTTGATAGCGCTTGCTAGTCGAATGTTACACGGCCTTCTAGCTAAGCCTATCTCTAGGGAACCCCCAGTAACCATCCAGGCCAGACTATCATTTAATTCCTTCATCTTCTTAGCCTTATCTGAGGCAAATCGTTGTCTATATTCGGTGGTGAAATACCTTATGTGCTCTCCCACCACTTATTTCCAACTAACACCCCACTAATTCCGGCTGCACTAATCTATTTAGCCGTATCCGGAAGTCCTTTTTTGTTCAGTAAGGACACATTGAACTGCCAGTGTCCAGCCATCTGAGCATAAACGAGTTTGTGGTCCAAATAGCCTAACCAATGGAAAGTGGGACAATCTACCAAATCTAGATCGACTCATCTTACTCACTATCTTATTCAGATAGCTTACCACCTGGGTAGACAGCCAATTAAGGACTTACGTTCATATCTCCTGTATGGGATGATTGACCTGGTATCGATCGGCCAAATTCATCGATCAGATAATCCAGTATACGATCAGTCCACTTGCTGAGGGTTCCTCGTTCTCTAACTTGGGTTCAAGGATGGCATTCCAGCCCTCCATTAAAAGTAGGCGCGCCGGATCTACCAGGAACGCCCCCCAACTGACAGAAGAACGAACAACGCTCGCTCTGATCCCGAAATGAATCACTTTTCACGGCTGAAAAAGAATCACGGTGAATGGGTCAGCTGTCGAGGCCCGGTAAGCTCTCAGTGCCACCACCTATGACCTCGATCTAGCAAGCGCATCAATTCTAGATCCTACCAATTCTACATTTTCTACAAGTTATTTCCCTTACCCACAAAGAGACATTCCACTCACATCTAATTTTAATATTAACTATACTTACCTTCTTTTCCTTCCACCTCACCGGTGATACTTGTTCCGTTTGTTCTTTCGTGCTGTCATACGCGTGTTTATAACACTGGTAACCAATATTTTATTATTTTTTATTATATTACACTGGTTTCCTTGTAATGTTATATTAACAGCAAATCGATAATAAATGAATAGGAGTAGATAGGTATACCTATCGCCCGTTCAATACTCCTCCCCCTTCTCTTGAACAGGTATATGGGCTCATAACTTGTTTTCCGTTTAGGAAAGGGTTTCCGGATTTTTTCTTTTTCTCTGGCCTATGTATTGGTTCCGTCCTGAATCCCTTGTGATATGTGAAGTCTGTGGTAATGTCTCTTCATACTGAGGGTACTGAGTTGGCAGTTCTCTGAAGTTAAAGCTTCCCTTCTTGATCTCTGTTTTACCGCCATCTCCAAGTCTTGTCGTGTCACGCAGTTCTGCCCTCTTGGTAACTCTGATTATGCCGCCGTGTGTTTTAATATCTCCTCCCCCAGTAAAGAACCTCCTACCAAGAGAACATCTTTCTATTATCAACAAGCAGAATGCGACTCGTTCCGTGATTTCCTCTGCCCCTGGAATACTGCATTTAGCCCCCCACCCTTCCAAAAATGTGCGTCTGAAGTCTCGTTATGGGTAAAAATGGAATCGAGGCTTTCATCACAGCAAGAAAATATAAAGTGAAATCGCGTCCCTCCCCTTGATTCTCAGCTGCTTGCCCAGCAGCTATTGCCCACAGGAATCACTACTTCTGTCTGAACCGTAGAGACATATCTGATTGCAAGTGACGTCTCTTTGTCACTGCCCGTAACGAGTGCAAGCGTGTCCTCAATGAAGCAAAGTTACTCTTTGTCGAAAGAATGAAACTGCGTCTCGCAAGTTTGGTTCAAAAGATTATTGGCGGCTCTGCAAAAGCGTGATGAACAACAGCAAACCCACACTACCTCCTTTATTCCACACATTTGAGGTTCTGACCTCCCCAGCTGATAAGGCTGAATGCCTTGCTCGTAAATTCTCATCCAATTCAACGCTAGAGTCATCTGGTGTACCCACACCTGATTTTCCCCCTAGAACTGAGATTCTAGTGAGTGAGATGCACATAACCTCAGCAATGGTATTGGGAATTATCTCTAAATTAGACTCCCATAAGGCTAGTGGTGGGGACGGGATACCGGCCATTGTCCTGAAAAAATGTGCTCCTGAATTAGCTCCTGTCCTCTCTAAATTTTACAACTACTGCCTCACCGGCGTTTGCATTCCAGCAGGTTGGAAGTTCTCATCTGTTGTGACTGTCTTTTAAAACTCTGGGGACCCTTCTAGCCCGTCTAACTACCGTTCTATCATTCTCCTACCACTCTTCGGTAAAGTCTTCGAAGCTTTAATCAACGCCAAAATGGTTAAGCACCTTACTTCACATAATCTGCTCTCCGACAAGCAATATGGTTTCCGCTTTGCCCGATCTTCCACGTACGTGCTCACGGCCATAACTGAATTTGTATACCAACACTCAACAATAATGGATAAGCTCAAGCCGTGGCTATAGACGCCTTTAAAGCGTTTGATAGGGTTTGGCACGCTGGTCTTCTTCGTAAGCTTCAGGGATATGGTATTACAAGACGATTATTTGACTTAATACAATAATTCCTGTCAAAACGTGAAATGAACGTCGTCCTAAACGGGTTCTTCGGCACCTTTATCACGAACGTTGGTGTTCCCCGAGGCTCTATCTTGGGTCCTACACTGTTCCTTATCTTCACGAATGACCTTCCCGATGTCATTAGTTCCCAAGTTGGCATCTCTGTGGACAACACTACTATTTACACCTGCCTCAATAGTAAATCTGGTATCGTTGATAAAACTAACCTGGCTGCTGATCTCGAAAAGGACCCCCAATCTGCGGTTGACTGGGGCAGGAAATGGCTAGTAAACTTTAATGCCTCCAAAATGAAGCTGCTCTCCTTTACCCACCACAGAGAACACTTCCTGCCTTTCATCATGATGGATGATTCCCAACTCCTTGAGAGCACCTCGTTACTCCTGCTTGGTCTCATGTTGTCCATTGACATGAGGTAGAATAAATACATTGAATCAATAGCTTCATCTACTGCAAGGAAAGTTGGTACTCTGTGTCGTGTTATATATCGACTGGTACCCCCCACTGTACGTCTCGAGGTCTTTCGACAAAATCCAAAAACGAATATTCAATGTGATAGGTCCTAATCTGGCATCTAGTCTATAGTTGCTTTTTCACAGACGTGCCTTGGCTTCCCTCTGTCTCTTGTACAAGTATTTTCACGGCAACTGTTCCGACGAACTACTTTCGCTGGTCCCCAGACTGCATGAATTTAAGCGAGCTAACAGGCTGGCATCTCGGTTTCACTGTCAATGTAAATGTAACCGTCTCTTCTACTCAAACAGCTTCTTCTCTCGCACTTCTCGTCTGTGGAACTCTCTTCTCCTTACTTGCTTCCCCGATGACTATAATCTTCAAATATTCAAGTGTAATGTCAATCGACATCTGACACCCTGGGCTTATTCCCCGTCCTTTTCTGTATTCTTTCCTCAAACATGTCTCTTTACTCTTGTTCTCATTCCTCTGTAGGGCAGAATTTTTACGCGATAGCATTACGCAACGTCACCATGACGTTGTGACAATATTGAGGGAAGTGAGCGCTCAGTTTGGGAGTCAGGAAAATAGTCGATTGCAACGTTACAGTAACGTCACCTACAACGTTACATATCACACAAACAAAATACAATTTATCTGCAGAGTTGCAAGAACATTCCGCGTTAGCTGGGCTGACGTGGACACAAAGTGAGGGTCTAGTTTAGTAGCACGTTTATATTGTAAATATGATTGAGTAGTTCGTTTTCTACGGCTTATCAACCCTTTGCAGGTTATTTAAAGCCAGAAAATATTTTTACATTGTAAGAATTTCTTTTTTTTTTATGAATGATTTATAAAGATAAAATTTTTACTAATTAACACATTTCTGGTGTAGGTGGGGTGGATTCATGACTTTCCCAAGGGTATTTGCGCGTAAGTGAAGATAATGACGCCAACTGGAATTGGAACTCGGCTCTCCGATTAACAATTCTGTGCCTTTATCCATTATACTCACTGCACGTCCACGCTAACAGCAACTGATATTCCCAAGAGGTTCCCCACTGACCTCGCTCGATGTTGCTTAACTTCGGCCATCATACGCGAACTGGTGTTACAACGTGATCAGTCTACGAGAATACCATCTCTATTATAGCAGGTGGTACTTCTTTCTCTCTCTTTTCAATCTCTTCAGTACTGTCCTGAGAACTATTACCATAATGTTAGGTACAAAGTTCAATCCAAACCCTTGTCTAGATGGTTGATTTATTCGTTTTTGACGGTTTTTCAACCTTTTACAGGTTATTTAAAGTCAGAAAATATTTTTACATTTTAAGAGTTTTTTTTTGCGTTGGCGTGAGGTGTGGGGGGATTTGGTTCAATAATAATGATTTTAGTGATAGAAGTTTTACTAATTAAGCCATACTTCTTTTTTTCCAACCTCCTCAGTACTGTCCTGAGGTCTATGTCAATCTATGTTAGGTAATTTCAACCCAAAACCTGTTCTAGTTGGTGATAGACCCTGCTCTTATATGCTGATACATCCATAATTTCTTCTCTTTACGAAACTGTAGGTAAGTTGATTTTTAGTCGCTAAAATAGCTTGGTGTTTCAAAGTGGAAATAAAACAAAGTCTCTTACCTTGTTGAGGACTGCAGTAGTTATACAATTCTACAATAGAACAAAGCGAAAATAATTTAATTAGCTCTAATGCAAACGAGAAAAATTGTATGCAAAAATATACCGTCAACCCGGCAGCAATCAAGTGAAAGGATAAAAGTTTAGCCTTCAGCTCGTTCCAGCTTATATTCTGTTTTTTTTTTTTCAGACTTATGCCATCATACCTCAATTCTTCCGCACTTCCATATATGTGCCACACTCACCAATCGCATAACTTGTACTTAAAAATAAGAGAAAACATTTTGGGATGTATACTTTTCTGTTCGGTAAGCTTTATAGCTAAGTGTACATTATTAAATGGACACTTATAGATTAAGTGGACACTTATAGATTAAGTGGACACAATAATGTGCGCATGGTGTAGCGGTTATCGGCAAATGGACTAAGACTGAATGACATCATCAAAATTGATTTTGATATCCTGTGTTTATCCTCGTTTGCTAAAATAAATTTTAAAGTGTAAATAGATTACATTGTCTTTTCATTGAGTATTTTAGCGTGGAAGTTGAACAGCCTAAAAGTAAAAGTTGGAGATTTTGAAGAAAAAAATTATCCACAGGGTGAAAAAGGTTGAGAATCGCTGATCTATAGGACCAGAGATCAGCAACAGATCTCTCCTCTGATCTAGCTCTGACAGCTCAGTGCGTATGTGTGTGTGTGGAGTGGGGTAGGGGAATGGCTGGTTACCTTCAATGATTCGAAATGCAAATTAATTACATCCCATTGTTGGGGATGTGCAGAATTAATTAATTGTAATTGAGTGAATCAGAAGAAATTTGTGTAGGTTGCATGACTTTCTGCATCCACAAACAAATAAATAAACGAATTTTAAATACAATCAAAAACAAGACATATTCAATTTAGAAACCAACCAAACATTTATATACAATTAAAATTAATATATATACAGGATATTTTGGTATATGTTACTATTGCAAAGTGCGTGTTATATTTGAGGTTTCGGTATGTCTCTTTTTGTATTTGTATGTTCAGTTACAGTCTTTCTGGAGTTGTGTTAATTAACATTAAAAATGTCGATGTTAAGTGTTTTTAGGAATGAGTTCTTATAGAGTGGTCTACCTTTGACTGTAATATTTCTGAATCGTTCGAATGTTGATTTTTACTTAATAATGTAGTGAGTATAGTTCACTTTGGATAAGCAAAGTTGTTTTAGGTTTGCGATTCGATGTCCACAGAGTTGGTCGAGTTTAAATTGCAAGTGAGTCAGCGTTGATGTACTTTTGTGCGGTAAAATCGTGATTTCGAGTGACGTGGAGTATGTTGTCAATTTCTCTGTGGATGTTCGTCTCTGACTGCTTTGGTCAGTCGGCGTTTTCTTTTGAGCCGATTTTGGACTTTCAAAAGATATAACTTTTGAAAGTCCAAAATCGGCTCAAAGAGGTTTTGGCGCAATTTTGTTTTGCACGTGAAACTTTCAGATTATTGTGTCGTTAACCAATGAGATTTTGTTGATTCGCCTAGTACGGTTTTTATTGGTCGAAGTTTTCCGTACGTAGGCGTAAGGTATAGACTGTTCTGTTACTAGGGGCGATAGGTAGGAAAGGACGAGTCTACATCATCATTGCCGATCGGATCCTGAACTATCATCAATCACGATGAATTGATGTTCCCTCGGAGAAGCCTTATACTTTGAGCAAGTGTTGGGCCTTAAACTCAACCCAGACCTCAAGTGCACCTCGTACATATCCATCGATAAAGATACTGGAGAAAGGGTCGTTTCCTTGTACTGGCCAACAATAAGTACCTGACTCCTCGTGATATCTTCTACCATTATAAGAACCAGATGAAGCCTAAATGGAGTACTGCTGTCAAATTAGGACAGGAGCTTCCCAGTCTGCAAATTCTAATCTCGATGGAGTCCAAAAGTGCCTCCGCGTCCTTGTGGGTGACAAATAATTTTCAATCTTACAACCCCTTTCCTTTAAGATGAAACGTTGTAAGCCTCGAGCTGCTCTATCGCCATTTCCATGGAAAGTGCTTAGACATTCCTTAGTTCCACCAATTCTAACTTTCACGGCTAAAACCCGTCATGCTATGCACACTGTAACGAACCACATTCATTCCGTTCGTATTCCATAGGTGAGATGCAAGTTCCACTCGAGCAGCTTCTCGCGAACCGCTGTTCATTGGGACCGGTCCCCAAGAGCTTGTTTTCCCGATCAATACAATCTTAACTTGTTCAATTTTCTTTCCCACCAAAACGTATAAATTGTGCCTCTTATTATGTAACGCTCTATTTCGAGTAACATCGGGGTATAGGGTGAACCCTACAGTAAAAAGAAAAGAAAAAAAAGGTATATCTGTATGCACATTGTGGTAATAAAATAAGCACATCCCATCTCACTTGTAACCATCTATCATAACGTTTTGCAGAATGTGTCAAATAAAGCTTCATAAGCTTCTACTTAGAGTTGTTGCTATCTTACACACATTGTCAGATTTATATCCATGTAGGGTTGTAAAAGGCAATTATCTCCCTTTGTTTGAGATGCAATACTAACCTTTTGTTACCTATTTCAATTTTTTTTTTAATTTTAAAAAGATGTTTTATTAAGAAGAAAATTACACACCTGAAGGCATGGTTATTCTTTCGTCGAGCATGTTCCTCGGGGGGTTTGGAATAAAGTTGATTGCAGAATTACAATAGAAATTCTGAAATGCAAATGAAATACGATTAACAAGAATTCACATTACTTAATCCAGCGGTTCTCAGGCAGGGTTTTGTTCCCTGCGGAGTGGGTTTCAAAGGGTGGAGGGAAAAATCTTTTACTTTTTCTTTTTATACAGAATTTTGTTTATTGTATTACAAACTCTAGCATTCTACTGAACTTTATGTTTATTGAAGATTGATTCAGGTTACTTATTTAATAATTCGTTATGAACGAAAACAAATTACTGTACAGTGTACATGGATTCAAATTTAAAATTCCATCAACATTTTCTTTGCTATTAAATTTGTAAATCTCCTCTGCAAAAAATAATCCATGTAAAATACCGATATACTAATATGGAAACTAATGAAGATTATCAATAATATATACAGATTATTTGGAATGCAACTTTTGGGTCATGCAATCTTCAAAAGGAGGGATTGAAATAGAGATAGATGGCGAAAAGGGTACATTATAGAATAAGGAAAAGTTGAGAACCAATGGAATCGAAAGTAATAGGAAAAAAAAAAAAGATTTATTTCTGAAAAGACGAGTTTCTTTAGAAAATCCATGATAGTTCGTGTTATTCTGTACTTATATTTATTTATGAAATATATTTTGTATGCTTGTTCCATTTTTTTAATCCGTATCACCTCATGCAAGGCAGTAAAGCCACTAAGACACAAGGAGGTTACAGGGTGTGGAAGAATTAAGAACAGAAATATAAATAATGATCGGGAAGACAAAAGAGTAATCAAGGGAACAGTAGATAGCGATTGACGTTGCATTTAAATTTTTGCAGATTAAAGTCAGCTGTAAAGCACTGAGCCGGGAGGGAGTCCCACAATCAAGAAGTGCGGGAAAAGAAACTGTTAGCATAGAATTTACGGCTACATTTAGCCAACTCAACCGTCAATTGATGACGCCACTCTAGTTTAGGTACCATAGTGAAGAGCTCATCTGAACAATTACCATGAAAGTACACATGGAAGGCACAGGGAAGAAACTTTATGGTAGTGAGAAAGTGACTGAAGCCGAGATGTCAGGTTAGGACTAATAATATTGCTGATTCTTCTTTGGATTTTATCAAGAAGCTCAAGATAAATAGCAGGGCCACCGGACCATATGTGACAGCAATATTCTAAGCATGAATGAATGGTAGACTTATAGATATGTAAGATAGATTCTGGAGAGAAACATTGTCTTGCACGTCACAGTGAACCAACTTTCTTAGTAGCTGACGTAGCAATGGATTCAATATAGTCTTTCCGCATCATATTTATGATTAATGCTTCTAATTTTTGTAGTCGTTGTTTTTAATAGTGTATATGATATAACACCTTTGTGTTACTGGTAACGATGTATCGCACTTCATTTTTTGTTTTATACTGCATTGATAAGCAATTTTATTAAAATAGGAAAATGTTCTAAAATACAGAAATATAAATTAAAAACCCTTAACAACGAACTTTTGTTCGCTTTTAACCAAACTTGTGCGAGGAACGTCATTTGAACATTTTAGCCAATGAACAAAGGTTATCAGTTGTAGAATACAAAAGAATGCTTGATCAGGAAATTCCACACATGCTTGTTGATCTGAGACAACCAATGGAAATGGACATCTTTTCATTACGCCCCCACACACCTGCTATCAGTATCATTGTTCACAAAGACTGTATTTCATATTTTCTTTTTCTGAAGTAGATGTTAATATATATTTAAGATAAAATAGGAAATACCCGGCAATTCCTCTAAAAGAATAAAAAAATGTAAACATTACACAAATCATTTTTTAAAACAAATATAGGATCGCCTATCTCCTTTTTGGTCTTTTGAATATGAGTAGAAGTTTATCTCGTGTTACCTGTTTAGGATTGGGTTTCTTGTTTCATCTTTTCAGTCTTTTCATTCTCTTTCACCCCCAGTTGCACCTCTTAGTGGCATTGTCACCTTTTGTTTGGGGCGAGGAGATTAAAAACAAATAAAAGAAATGCTGCCTAAATATGCCCAATATTTTATATATATATATATATATATATATATATATATATATTCTATATCATATACATATATCATATATATACATATATATTTCATATCATAATGGTTTAGTTAGAAATCCCGGATCGAAAGAAATATCAGAAAAAAAGGTGAAAATTGAATGTCTTTGGCTAGATGCGAAAGTGTCTCATCAGTATTCTCATGATCTAGTTGGGCGAATCTTCTTGCTTGATAAATTGTCTGAACTTGGAATTTGTTTTCGCCGTTTCGTTCTCCTGTTGTTCTTAATTTTATTGAAAGCATGTCTCCCTAGCCCACTATTTGGTGAGGGCGGAGGATTGGCCGTTGATCCCCCACCCCCGCCAGGTCGATGCTTGGACTTAAGGCAAGCCATACATTCACCTGTTATCATGAGGAAGAAAGCGGACAAACACTCGATACCACGTATGTTGGGGCATTTATTATGACATACCAATAAATCCGGATAACCTTATTTTCTTCAATTTCTTTTTAGAATAGACAATGGGACTTATACTAAGTTAAAACTTAATGTTACGAAAGGGTAAAATCCAAGTGTCATCCAGGACTCTGTGCCAATTACCTCCCCCCTCTTATCCTTCCCTCTGTTTTTGTCGTTCTTGTATGTGTTATATGTAATAAGAGTAGGTAGGCTTTCCTACCGCCCGGTCAACACTCCTCCCCCTTCTCTTGGACATGAGTAGAGGCTTACGCCTTGTTTCTTGTTTAGGAATGGGTTCCCGGTACTCTCCCTCCCTCTCTCTCTGGCCTCTGTATTAGTGCAGATCCGTTTCACCTCTTCATTCTGAGGGTACACGGTTGACAGTTCTCTGGTTGCTGTTTCCGACTGGTAGTTAGGAGCCCTAACTCTTGCGTAGCGTCTTGAGCGGCCGCTCTGATCAACAGTTGTATAATACGGGGGTGTCTGTAGTGCCATGTCGCGCATGGAAAGGTGTCCCTGCAGTCACCTCCGGTGGGCAACCCTGAGGCCACATTATGATGCAGGTTGTGCCAACTCCTCTCTGCCCACGTCACGGCCGATAACTGTTTGCTTCTTTTACTCCGGGCCTTCTCATTTTCCAACCAAAATTCCACATGACTTACAAAGACCGAAAAAGTAACCCAAACCAGCCACTCAAAAATCACCTAAACCCCTAAACATTTCGTTCTCCAACATCCGTGGCATTAGAACGAACTTCTGCAGTATGGAATCTTTCCTCACTGCAAACTGCCCGGATATACTGGCTCTCTGTGAGACCAACCTTGTCTCGTCTATCCCCTCCTCTGATCTCTCGATCCCAGGCTACCTTCCTCTTCTCAGAAAAAACTCTCTAACCCACATGCACGGCCTTGGTGTCTACGTCAAGGACCATCTCCCTCTGGCCAGAGAGTTCTCTCTTGAATCGCCAGACCAGTCGTACATGTGTCTCCGACTATCTTTTCTCAATGCGGTAAGCTATCTCTTCTTCCTTTACCGCTCTCCATTCTCTCAAGACTGTGGGATACTCGATAGCATTTCGGACAGCATAGACAAGGCTCTCTCTCTCCACCCGTTTGCCCACATATTTGTGTTTGGCGACTTTAACGCCCATCATACCATGTGGCTTAAAATGCTACTACTGACCACGCAGGCATTCAAACACTCAATTTTTCAGTCTCTCAATCCCTCACATAGATAGTTAACTTCCCCACACGTTTTGCCTTCAACCGGGAAGGTAAAGCCTCTCTTCTCGATGTGTGTTTTACCTCCATCCCCGAGTCTTGTAGCGCCACGTAACTCTGTCCTCTTGGTAACTCTGATCATGCGGTAGTATCTGTTAACATCTTCTTCAACTCCACCCCCTGCAAAGAACCTCCTGCCACTAGAACTTCGTTTTACTATCAACGAGCTGACTGGGACGTGTTCCGTGATTTCCTCCGCGATGTCCCCTGGGATGTTGTCTTTACACTCCCCGTCCAAGAATGTGCTTCTGAGGTCTCATCCTGGGTTAAAGCTGGAATCGATGATTTCATCCCCTCAAGGAAATATAGGGTCAAGTCACGCTCCTCCCCTTGGTTCTCCGCTGCTTGCTCAGCCGCCATTGTCCATAGGAACCACTTCTTTCACCTATTTCTTAGCGACATGTCTGACTGCAATAGACGTCTCTTTGCCTCCGCACGTAACGAGTGTAAGCGTGTCCTCAACGAAGCTAAATCACTATTTGCTGCTCGGATGAAGGAGCGTATTGCATCTCGCAAATTTTGCTCCAAAGATTATTGCCGTCTCTGCAAGAGCGTATTGAACAATTGCAAACCCTATATACATCCTTTGTTCAAGCAGTTTGAAGTCCTGACCTCCTCTGCCGACAAGGCTGAATGCTTCGCTCGGAAATTTTCATTCAACTCAACGCTCGACTCTTCCGGTGTAACCATACCAGACTTCCCTCTTAGAACTGAGGCCCTATTCAATGGGTTACACATAACTCCGTCTTTGGTATTGGGCATTATCTCCAATTTAGACTCCAACAAGGCTAGTGGTGGAGATGGGATACCAGCCATTGTCTTGAAGAAATGCGTGCCTGAAATGGCGCCCGCCCTCTCTAAACCATATTCCTCAAGGAATCTTGTTTTCCTGACTGCTGGAAGTCCTCTTCGATTGTTCCTGTCTTCAAGAACTCTGGCCATTCTAACTACCGTCCTATCAGTCTCCTACCTCTCTTCGGCAAAGTCTTCGAAGCCCTAATCAATACCGAAGTGGTTAACCACCTCACATCCCATGATCTGCTCTCAGACAAGCAATATGGCTTCCGCTTTGCCCGATCTACAGCTGATGTGCTTACGACCATCACTGAAACTGTCTACCAAGCTCTTCAAAATAACGAGGAAGCTCGTGCCGTGGTCCTAGACATCTCCAAACCGTTTGATAGGGTTTGGCATGCCGGCCTTTTTCGC